GGGCGGGGCCCCCGGGCGGGAGGCAGCCGGTCGCAGGTTCTCTCACCATGGATGTTTCTCCCTCTCCCTTCGTCTCTGAAGTCAATAAAAATGTACTTTTTAAAAAGGCCCCTCCCATGAAGCATGGTTAGTGATGCGTATTTTGTCGGGTCGACGAGGGACCCGTGGGCGGGTGACGCCTGAGGGCGCTGACACCGACACCTCAGCACAGAGCGGCACCGTTACTGTATCCTTTTCACAGAAAGTGACAGGTAGCCACATCCCACCTCAACCAGAAGTACACTTTAAATGGAAAAACCATCCACTGGGAACAAGAGTGCAGTGTTTCCACGCGCGCTTAGGCCGGTCGTGAGGGTCTCGATTCCGACACGGGTTTATCAGGCTCCGCCATCCCGCTCCCCACCCCTTGCTTTCCAGCTGAACCTGGTTAACGGGCCTCGAGCGGCCCGGAAATGTCCGACACTCAGGGGTCACGTCTCCAGACTCGGCGCAGACGCCCCGGGAGGAGCTAAGTGGGGGGATGGGGGACGCCAACGACGCAGGGCCCCTCTAGGTGCCGCGACCCTCGCCCTCCGGAGAACGCGGGCGGCGGCCGGCCCACCTGCGAGACCGCGAGGCCGCGAAACTCCCACCCTGACCACCGAGGGCGCCCGGCCCCGCTCGGCCCCGCTTCTTACGAGCACTGCTAGCGCCCCGCCGCCTTCCCGGCCCCAGAACCGCGAGCCGCCCGGCCGACCGCCCCGCCCGGCTCCCAGCCCAGGCTGCTGGTGCTGGAAGGCACAGTGCCCTCGTCGCGGCGAGGCCACCTCAGGGCCTCCCGGGAAGCGTGTGAGGAAGGGGCAGGGGCGTCGCCCCACCTCGAACACGGTGGGTGTGAGGGGATGGAGGGACCAGGCACAACGAAACTGGAGTCACCGGCGAGGCCCGGGACCAAGGTACCTGCGAAAACCTGGGGCTGGTGACAGGCCGAGCGGCGCTCACTCTCGCAGACGCTCCGGCCTCAGACGGTTGCTCGCCGGGCGCTCCGCCGCCGCCGGACCCTCGAGAAC